ATTCCATTGGCAAACTACCTCATTTACCTACTCAAATTAAGGGTAAGTACACTTAATTTAAGACATTTTTACTTATTACTAGACAATTTTTCCAGTATAAATAAAGAATGCATTCTGGTAGATTCCTTTGAGTTTGAAATTCAGTAATAACATCTGCATGAAAACAACATATTTCCAATGTTAACCACAAACTTATTTCCTCCGTCAAAAAGCAGAAACTAAATCATTACGGTGAACAAATGCATAAAAATGACAAAACTTCACAGTTGTTTTCAGCAGCTTTCTCAACAAGCTACTGTACCAGCATTATGACAGTGGATTCACATTAAGGAGAAAAAACTCAGCGTTATTTTTACTCCCATTTAGCTCCTAGAATCCCAAACTTACAGAGAAATGCTTCTATGTGAGGAACTTTTTTTGTTGTACAACGCTGAAGCCGGACACCAAATAAGTTTAGCTTATTCTGGCAAATGTTTGGTGAGGATTTAAACAGATAAGCTTCTGCAGAGAAGCGAAGCGAGCCCCGAACGTTCAGTACTCACAGAAACCTGGGAGGGCGGCGCTTTCTCCCTGGTTTGGTCTTCAGGTGATCATTAAACAGCTAAACCAGTGGAAATAATAACATCAACAAAAGCTCAGTGTCATTTACAAACCATTCACAGCCAGTGACTTTCAGTGGGGATGCCGAGTGGAAGACATACAAAAAAAATAAACCATTTTTAAATATATATATATAAAATAAACGTCAAATGCATGACGTAACCACATTTACACAAATAAATAATCGCATACAAACTCTAGATGAAAACATATTGCCTTCTGGATGACCAACCGCTGCATCATACAGCTGCTTTTGCAGGTTTTTAACACTTTCAATAATAATCTGACGGCTTATTGCTTGCTGCAGATTTCCTGGGAGCCACCGGTTATCTCGGCTTCCTGAGCGATTAAAGGGATGCAGCAAATATTGGGCAAATGTTCAAAGAATATTATGTGGCAGCCACATTTGCACTGCAAAAACTGGTCAAGATTTCTTAAAATAAGCATATTTACCCTCAATTTGAGCCGGTAAATAAGACAATCTGCCAATGGAATGAGTATATTTGTCCTTAATATTAGATATTATGAACTTAACAGAAGATGATGAAGTTTTTTTTTCTTCTTTTAAAAGTAAACCATCTTATTTCATCAGCAGATTAACTCACTTTCCTCCTTAAATTGAGGGAAATACCCTTATTTTCGAGATCAATTGACCTTTTTTTTTATTTAAATTTCAGCAGTGTGTTAAAAGCCTCTCATAAAAAAATACAAATAATCTCATAATTTGCAGCCGACAGTAAACTTAAACACTGGAAAATGTAGAAAATGACTGCCTCTAATTCATAAGGAGAACGAGGCGAGGCAGCAAACCGCTGCATCTCAAGCTGTAGGTTTTAACATTTTTCTGGGTGAGACCACACACTGGAAAAACGATCTAGAAATAAGTAAAAAATGTCTTAAATCAAGTGTATTTACCATTAATCTAAGTAGGTAAATAAGATAGTTTGCCAATGGAATGAGTATTTTTACTCTTGAAATAAGATAATTAGATAATATGCGATTGAAATAAGACAACGCAATTGTTTTTTCTTATTTTAAGTGCAAATTGTCCTTTTTCATTGGCAAAATGTCACTTTTACCTCCTCAATCCAAGAATAAATGTAGATATTTTAAGAAAAAATGACTTAGATTTTTTCCAGTGAGCTTTATGAAATAATGTGGCTGCCACTGGGACATATGTAAACCACCAACATACAGCAGGTTCTGATAATCATCGGGATCAGGAAACATAGATTTGAAATTTGTATTCTGCACATAAACGCACATATTTCATTTGAACTTAATAAACAGATGAATTCACAATGGTTGTGCAGAAGCTAATTTGTCTCGTCCAAAAGTAAAAAAATAACACTTGGTATGACATTATTAGGAGATTTAAGGTCGGAATTATAAGAATTTTAACTCCCAATCTCATAATCATGACTTTAATTATAATTATGACAAAACCTCAGAATTATGACTTCAAAGTATTTGATTATGACTTTAAATCTAATATGAAAGTCTAAATTATTCCTCTGAATCTCATAATTCAGACTTTAAATCTGATAATTACGACTTTAAATCTGATAATTATCACATACTACACTGGAAAAACGATCTAGAAATAAGTAAAATTTCTTAAATTAAGTGTATTTACCCTTAATTTGAGTAGCTAAATGAGATAGTTTGCACATGGAATTAATATTTTTCTTCTTAAAATAAGATAATTAGATAAAATGCACTTAAAATAAGACAATGCAATTGTGTTTTCTTATTTTAAATGTAAAATGTCTTTTGTCTCCTCAATCCAAAAACAAATAAACTTATTTTAAGAAAAAATGACTTATCTAGATTAGTTTTTTTCCAGTGTATGTGCCAGGCTTTACTTTTCAGCCGGAGAAACAACCTTCCTTAATGGGTAAATCCAATTTTAAGGACTCCTTTTCCAGATTAAAAGCATTTTGCTGACTGTTTTAATTTATTTGAACACTTACTCTAACAGAATAAATAAAACCAACAGTTTAGATGCTCAGTAGATTCAAACCTGCAGCCTTGGTGCTCTGCTACTCGACTGACTATTACAGCTGATCTGGTCACTTTGCTGGTTGTTGCTTTTTTAACATCTTCTCAACTTCAGACAAAGTCTCTGATTCCAATAACTAAATTCAGCCAAAGCAGACCTGAACTCATGCATATTGTAAATGATGCCACCATTGTTAACTTTTTAACTTTGGAAGCTTCAATCTTTGGAACAAAGAGGAAAAACAATAAAATAAATAGATGCAAACAAAGTGAAAGTGTTTCCATCAGGGACATAGCAGTCAAGGATTTTCCCTGTGGAAACCTAAAAGGTCCGTCTGCTAAATAAAAAAAAATAAAATCTCTGCCAAAACTGATCAGAAAATAAGCCGAAAATTCTTCAAATCAGCGTATTTGCTCTTAATCTGAGCAGATAAATCAGACCACCTTCCAACAGATGAGTAGTTTTGTCCTTAGAATAAGATAATTAGATATAATGCACTTGAAATAATAATAATAACCTATTTTAAACATAAAACCTCTCATTCTGATAGAAAAATGTCTTACTTATCCGCTCAGATCAAGAGAAAATACATTTATTTAAAAGAAAAAAGGATTATTATCAATTTTGGCAGAGAGAAAAAACAAGAAAACAAACATTTCATTTGCAAAAGGGTATTAAATAACATGTGCAGCCGACGTACAAAGGAGGTAATTGGAGTCATTTGTGCTGCTCTAAGCTCTGGTCAATCTCATAAGGCAGAGTAGAGAATAAATTACAGAAAAATAATAAAGAAAAAGCTGATTAAAGCTTGAGAAGTGAGGTTTGTATTATAAGATGTGAAAAAAAAAACATTAAAAACATTTAATTTAGAGTTAAAACAGTTAAATAAAATGGAACCAGGTGTTACAGTAAAAATAATTACTGTATTATCTGAGTCATGAAAGGTTTTAAATGCCTGATTAGGGCAGACTTAGCCCCTCAAGCTAACAGCTAAAACAAATAAAAGATGCAAAATAATTTGTGCAAAATAATCAAATAAATTCCTTGCAAAAATATATCTGTTTTCCTGTCTATATATATATATATATGTCTGTATATAAATTCTTTACTTGTTTTAAAATATGCTTCAATATTTAAAACATCACTAAGAGATTTAAATCATCTAAATATATTTTAATTAATATATAAACTTTTGAATTCATCTCATCATAAGTTATAATATCAATATATATTTTAATGCCTTTGCTTTTTAATGTGTATAATTATTATATCTGATCTCATTTTTAACTATTTGCTGACATGTTTTGGATTTTTGGTCTTTTTTTTACCTCAGTGTTATTCCGCCCCCTAGTGGATAAAGATAAAATAACAAAAACAAAAAGCAGTTATTAATGCAGAAGCTGTTTGTTAAAAGCGTTCCTGACACATTTATTTTGCAATTTTAGTCCTTTTGCATATTTTAAAAGAACCTAAGCCTCTACTTTATGACATGATGTGTTTCTTTGAGCATTTAAGGGCCAAAAAAAAATAAAAAATAAAATAAAGACCTTGAATTAAAACGCTTGAGAATTTTTAGTTTCTGTCTGAACCTCATGTCATGATCATACTATTTGAAAACCTCAGGGCTGAATTTATATATAATTTTTTACTTTATTTATTTACTTTATGAATTATAAAGCATTTTTAAATTGAGTCAAAACTAAATAAGCTGGAGGTATCCGATGGTTGTGACTTTTCTTTTTGCTGAAATTTAAAAACCTCAACAAAAGGTTTTTTTTTTTTTTGTCTAAAAAGGCAATTCAACATGCTACCAGAAGGGGGCAGTGTAAAGCTCACGCCTCTCCTTCAGCTGTGCAACCTTCTACAATAAGCAGCTAAATCCGTCTTCCATTTACCTCCAGTGTAGCACGGCAGAGGCAGACACGCCGCCTGTGCAGATCAAGCTAAAACGCAAAGGTAGATGATTTTTGGTCGGACTGGTCCTTCAAGAAAATACATCCCCAAACGGGGCCCCTCAGACTCCCTGCTGTTCCCACTCTGTACCGCGTTCCTGGTCTTTAGTCAGTGTAGGGATGGGAACATGCAAGGAGTGATGGTGGAGAGCAGAGAGGTGCTGATCCTTGGTTGTTTTTTTTTTAGTAGTGCAAGGTATGGAACAGACAGCTCTCTGAAGTTAAATGGTGCTTTCAGTGTGTGTGTGACTGATGGTGTGGACATGTTGGGAGGACTGGGTGTAACTGGGCCGGCGGAGGCCCGCGCAGTTCGGCTGCTCACTGAGCAGAGTGGTGGTCTCTCCTGGTCCGCTGTCGGACGGCGGGGAATGCTGGGGTTTGGAGGGAAGCGATGAGCCCACAGCAGGTTTCAGAGCACATGGCAGCGCGCCCACGCAGGAGGGAGGGGTGTGGTTGCTCGGAGGGGGCGTGGCCTGGGGTAAGACCTGGCTCGACCTGCGGCCGGCGGAGCCCACGGTGAAGGAGGCGCGGGCGCTCTGGGGCGTGGGCTGGGAGTTGGGTGACGGGTGCTTGCCAGGGGGCGTGGCCAGAGCCAGCGGGGTTTTAGTTTCTGGAGGCGTCAATGGAGGCAAGGAAATGGAAATATCCAAGCGGGCGTGGCTGCCCTCTGGAGACTGCGGCGTGCTGTCCAACCTGGACGCCAGGAGAGCGTTCTGGTAGTGAGCGCGGGTGACCTGAGGAGGACAATGACAGAATAAAACATTGCTGGATGGTTTTACAAAACTTCAACTTTAGCATGTCCACAGTTTGTTCCTCATAACGAACCTTTCATACGCCGCTTATGAGCTTAAACTTTATTTAATTTTCTGTAACAAAAGCAGCTACGTACATTTGCTGATCAGTGAGTAAAAAGTAGTTTGAATCTATTTAGAAGTGAGAAAGTCCGCCTGAAAACTTAATCTGTGCAGTCAGTTCATCCAGATTATCATCCTGCCTTCAAATATTATTTCTGTCGGGGCCGCTCAGACCCCGTACACCGGCGGGGCGCTGTCACGGCTGGAAGGCGTTTTTCATATAAATAATTCAAACTGCAGGCACCAGGATAATAAAATCAAACACATTTTGCCGGCAGATTTCGGCATTTTAAGTTAATTTAGGCGTTAAACTGTTTCAGAGGAGTGATCAAAGCGCTCTGCATCATCAGTGCTTCCTGTCTCCCTGCCTGCAGCTGCTCCTGCTGCTCCAGACGCGCTGCAGATAGCGTGCGCGGTCATGTGTTTTGAAGGCGTGGTTTCGAGGGGTGTTCTGAAGGGTGAGGCATGGTTCTGTGTGTGTTCATAAAATAGCTTGCTGGATCCGTTTTTTCCAAGATCTCCTACGGCGCCTTTAAAGTCTCTGAATAGGGTGTGTAACATTGGTTGGGCTGAAAATGAATTATTTGCTGTTCTATGAGCCCTAATGCAGCCCGCTTAAAAGCCAAGAATGAAACGACAGGTTTTCTTCCTTTTATGGTATGATCATGGATATTTAGTCAAGCTGTGCTCTGATTGGTTGGTTTACTGAGCAAAGACGCATCATAGCAACAAGCACTCACTCACTGAAACATCAAATTGTTGATATGGACACATTAGATGTTAAACCATTTATGTATGAGCCAGAATCAGAGGAAGAATCAATATAGTTTACACGATAAAGTTAACGTTACTCCTTGTTTTAACCTCTTAAAGTGGTAACACTATCGACTTAGCTGGGTAACATTATAGCTTAGCTTCTAGCAACCAAACTATCGTGATTCTACTCAGCTTTAGCCATCTGGCTGGAATAGACTAAGAAAATAACCCGACGAAGATCTGGACAAATACGCATCGTAAGGTGTAGATTTATATATCAACATGTTATTTATTGAACGAAATAAAGTCAGGGAAATGAAATGACACCCATGGCTAACAAACTGAATGTAACACATTCTGCATGCTGCTACATACGGTATCCTAGCAACAGCTTAGCTACAGAATCATACTTCCAGCCCCTTGTTTCAGCAAAAAGTTTAGTAACTCCTGCTTTGAACTTTTCAAGATTTTGAAAGCTGTCTTCTGTAAAATGCTTAGAGCAAATAAACAGGTGAGCTTCAAACTTCAGGGATCTTCTGATACAAAAAAATAATCCGTGCCTAATTAATCCGCCAGATTTCCCCCTTCCTCTGTACAGCCTGGAACTCTGCATATACACCTGTGGTTCTGGCTCATTTTCAAAACAGAAACTTCCTGCTTTGTAATTCTTGTAGAAGTAAACCCAACTGTAAGCTAAACAGCTAAACTGGTGTCTTATGCTACGTTTACACCTAGTGACAGCGCGCTGCTGGTGTACGGGGGTCTGAGCGGCTCCAACAGCGAAATAATATTAAAAGGCAGGATGGTAATCTGGAAGTTTTCAGGTGGACTTTCTCACTTCAAAATATTCAAACTACTTTTTACTCACTGATCACAGCAAATATAGCCGCCATTGCTACAGGTAAAGAAAGGATAGAGTAGCTCCACCCAACAACCCACTTTTTTCCACCATGCAGCCAGAGCAGCAAAGATGCTTCAGCCGCGCATCAGAATTGAACTTGTCCAAGCATCAAAAATGAAGCAGCACGCACGTTTTTGCTGCTCTTGCTGCGTGCGATGTGAACATAGCATTACATCTTTGTGACCTCTATTCATGTTCTTGGGCCGTGAACCAGTGGGCTGGTCTGTATGTAAATTTCGGGACGTGACAAAAGTACAGGCCAGAACCAAATAAGGAAACATCCCTGAGTTTACGTCAACTCGGTGCTTCGTTTGGATTTGCACATTTTATGGTGGAAGTTTAGAATTGTGAGATTGAGAAGAAAGGAGGTGTTGATGGGGTTTGAACTTCTCTGTACGTCCATTTCACCCACTGAACTATCGTTATTCATCTATGACAATGGAAACTCGGTGTCGCATTCTATGACCCCTTTAAGGTTCAATGTTTTTCTTTCTTTTTAGAGACATAAACTTAAGCATACAGTGAAAGATCTGGTGCAATTTGGGCAATGATGAGTAAAATGAAAGATGTTAGTCATTTTCATTCAAAAACAATAGGTTTTTCCACAGTTTTTGGTTTTAATCTGGTTGGTTAATCTGATGCGTCCAACCAATCTTTTGGGTAAAGTACTGTAACCAATCTAATTTGACAGTATTTTTACCCAATCTATATTGGTAAAAAGGAAAAACAAATCCAAATAAGTAGCATAGCTACTTTCAAAAGCCTAAGGCAGGCCTTGAACCAACAGCCACTGGATTGGAGAGCAGAGTCTTACAGCTGACGGCACCTGCAATACTAACTGTCACTTAATACAAGTAGATACAAATTAATATATCCAAACTATCCAACTGGCCACAACTCTCCAACAAACTCCTGCATCTTGACTGAATACTGAGGCTGTCTAAATGCCTGTTGATTTGCGGGTGATCTGAACCACTTCCTGAAGCGGTCGCGGTGTTATGCGGTGTAGCAAGGCTTCGGACGTCTTCGATTTTGGCCCCTCCCCTAAATGAAGATAGCCTCGATACACGCTTAGCATAAACGCCCCCCCCACGAAGCCTCAGCTCATCTCATAACATCACTATCCAACACATTTTTGAAGTCATTTCTGCCTTTTTTTCAACAACAATATTGATTTCAAATATCCAGGTGCTTTATCTTGTTTACTAAAAAGCAGCCAATCAAACACTAGAGTATCTATGGAAGCGGCTCTAGTCTCACCCACTGAGTTTCATAGTTAAAAGTTTAAATTATTTACTATTTTAAATTTCTTTTAAATATTTCCTGGCAGATTAACTTAATTTTTAATGTATAAATCTAAAGAAACGTCTGCTCTCTGGCTCCCCCTACTGGTCCTTTTTTGAAAGGCCCTGTTCTAAAGGTGGGAGCCTGTTTACTGCAGAGGGATGCAGAAAAAAGATTTAATGGTACAAAATATTTACTTAGTACTGCTTTAACTGTACATATAATTGTTTAATGCTGTATCATATAAAGAAATGCATCATCTAAATATTCAAATACGCATATATGTATTTTCTTTTTTATGTATACTTGAGTTTAATTCTATATTTTTCCATTTAATTTTATCCCCTTTAATCCTCCCAATTGTTTCTCTTTAATAAAATAAATAACCACTAAAGTCATCGATCTAAGATGTTAGATTTGGATGATAATTTTCTACTTAATGTACTTTATAAATGATCATTAGATGGGGAACTGCTCCTTTTAAGCCAATATGTTTAAATTTGCATCACTTTTCGTTTAGGACTAACCTTGACGTACTGAAGATCAGCCAGAGCTCGAACGCTGAAGTCTGGGATGTACTGGAACGGGGTTCCTGGGATCTGAGTGTTGCTCCCGCTCATAGAGCCGCTCTCCTGAGCGCGTTCGGTGCAGCTCAGAGACGCCGAGCGGTTCAGGTTCCCCGCGTGCGACGGAGAGCGAAACTCTGGGGATGGACAGAGAAGACAGGTGAGCGGCGGCACCGCGGGAAAATAAAGAGGAAGGAGCAGAGCCAGGAGATCTCAGGATGAAAACACACCGATGCATAACACTGGAGAGGGAAGAGTGTAGCACAGTGAGGCGGAGAGAAGTGATGAACGCACTGCGGCACATCACGGGGAAAAACATCAGAACTTTATCAATGAGCAACGGATGATGCAGAGAGGAGAGCGCAACAGACAGGACATGCGATGAGAAAAAGGGCACAGGTTGGACATGACATGGCTGCAGCCCAGGTGGCAGACGTCTCTCATTGGCTGGTTTTACTGCTGTCGCTCCAAGTGAGGGAGCAGCCCAGGTTTCCATGGTTACCTGATTTAAGCTGAATTTGAGGAATCAGGGAAACTTCTGGGCGTAAAGAAGCTGAGCACATGCTGCTGTATAACATTTTGCTTAACTGATAACAAAAAGGCTGCAAACGAGGTGGAAACTACGGAAGAGGATTAGGGCCACTGAAAAAAAAAAAAAGATAACTGATTTTTTAATTTTATTTCAGTTTAACACGGGGGAAAAGTCAGAATTCTGACTTTTTTCTCAGAATTCTGATTTTAGTCTTAGAATTCTGACTTTAATCTCAGGATTTTGAAACGTAATGTAGATGGGCACCATAAAGGAAGCACTCAGCTTCACTGACAAAGATGTGAGTTGTTTGAGGTGGCCAGTAACACAATGGTGGAAAATTAAGGAATTAGGCGACTTTTTACCTGCCCGAGGGGTCCCCTTATTAATAGAGGAGCTGAAGGTCATTAAAACAACAGAGCTAATCTCTAAAACAGACATGGCTATGGCTTGATGCTAACATGTTTGTTATCTGTCAGAATTCTGAGATTAAAGTCAGAATTCTGAGATNGAATCAGAGGAAGAATCAATATAGTTTACACGATAAAGTTAACGTTACTCCTTGTTTTAACCTCTTAAAGTGGTAACACTATCGACTTAGCTGGGTAACATTATAGCTTAGCTTCTAGCAACCAAACTATCGTGATTCTACTCAGCTTTAGCCATCTGGCTGGAATAGACTAAGAAAATAACCCGACGAAGATCTGGACAAATACGCATCGTAAGGTGTAGATTTATATATCAACATGTTATTTATTGAACGAAATAAAGTCAGGGAAATGAAATGACACCCATGGCTAACAAACTGAATGTAACACATTCTGCATGCTGCTACATACGGTATCCTAGCAACAGCTTAGCGACAGAATCATACTTCCAGCCCCTTGTTTCAGCAAAAGAAGTTTAGTAACTCCTGCTTTGAACTTTTCAAGATTTTGAAAGCTGTCTTCTGTAAAAAGCTGAGAGCAAATAAACAGGTGAGCTTCAAACTTTGCAGACAAGTTCTGATACAAAAAAAATAATCCATGCCTAATTAATCCGCCAGATTTCCCCCTTCCTCTGTACAGCCTGGAACTCTGCATTTACACCTGTGGTTCTGCTCATTTTCAATACAGAAACTTCCTGCTTTGTAATTGTTGTAGAAGTAAATCCAGCCGTAAGCTAAACAGCTAAACTGGTGTCTTCACATCTAAAGTAGGAAAGGCAGCAGGAGCAGCTAGTTTACATGCAAAAATCAATGGTTGACGCGCATCAAGGCGCAGCAAAACGTCCAACGGTGCGTTTTGAGCAGCTGAAGCAGTGCGTCGTTAGCTTCTGAGCATCTGACACGCGGAACGCGCTGCAAATGCAGCAGCTGCAGGAGTTGGAAAGACTGAACTTTTGCTGATTGATGCGCCACATCAATTAATGAAAGAAGCTGATCTGGGAGCTGGCAGGGAGACAGACACAGCGCTGCTGATGCAGAGCGCTATGATCACTCCTCTGAAACAGTTTATTAACGACTAAATTAACTTAAAATGCTGAAATCTGCTAGCAAAACGTGTTCACTTTTATTATCCTGGTGCCTGGATTTTAGATAGCGTACATGAAAAAGAGGCGACCGGGCCAGAAGCTGCTATTGAACTGGATTCCTAGTGACAGTGCGCTGCCGGTGTACGGGGGTCAGAGCGGCTCCAACAGCGAAATAATATTAAAAGGCAGGATGGTAATCTGGATGAACTGACTGCACTGATGAACTTTTCAGGTGGACTTTCCCATTTCAAAATATTCAAACTACTTTTTACCCACTGATCACAGCAAATATAGCCGCCATTGCTACAGGTAAAGAAAGGATAGGGGAGCTCCGCCCAACAACCCACTTTTTTCCACCTTGCAGCCAGAGCAGCAAAGATGCTTCAACCGCGCATCAGAATTGAACTTTTACAAGCATCAAAAATTAAGCAGCACACTGCAAAAATTATCTCAAAATGAGTAAAAATGTCTTAAATTAAGGGTATTTACCCTTAATTTGAGCAGTTAAATAAGATGATTTGCCAATGGAATTAGTATTTTTA